AATTGTGATTTGGGTAAAAGTTTACAGCACAAGTTCATTTTCCATGCAACAGTTCACACACATTTTGTTTCATGACATTGATTGCAAGCCCCATAAGGTAACAACTCTCTTTCCAGTTACTCTGTGTTTACCTTTTCCCTGGGTCCTTCTTTCCTAAGCATTCCTGCCCTCTGAGCTATCTCCCTATGCAAATATTGCCTTTCTGCTCTCCCATGGTTGATTGTTCTAGAGAGTGTACCTGTCTGGTATAAATAGTCAGCTTATAGGCCTCTCCATTATCTGGCTGGAAGCCACAGGAATGAGTTCGATTCCAGGCCTGAAGGGTGACTACGGGCCAGTCTTGAGAGGTCTCAAGAGTCCATCAGGGGTCACCAGTCTCCATTGGAACAGTAAGCCTAGTCTTTTTTATGATTGTTAGTTTTGTTGCACATTGTTCTCCCACCCTATCCAGAATCTCCTATTTTGATCCCTCTCCAAGTAGTTGACAGTGGTAGCTGGGCACCATCTAGTTCTTCTGGTCTCAGAGTCATGTAGGCCAAGGTTCACATGGCCCACTAGTCTGTGAACTAATTACTTCCGTGCATCTTTGATTTTCTTCATTCTTCTTTGCTCTGGACAAGAGGAAACTAATTGTTGCATCTTAGTTAGCCACTTGCAAGATCAGGCCTCTTCAAAGCAAATACTAAGAGAGACGTTAGCCTGTTTGATATCTCTAATGAAACTTGGGAAACAGCTGGGCACGCCACGCCACACACAACATCTTCAAGGATCCAAGAAATGAACTGAAGAGACAAGGACCTTCTTCCAGAGCCAACAGAGAGAGGAAGCCTTTCTCTAGTTCCACTTGCAAGATCAGCTCAGTGTGAATGGTTACGACCTATATATAGGTAATTTGGTGAGAGGGCTTTTCTGGTCACAGTGAAAGCCCTCCCCATACTCCTCGCAGTGCAGTGAATTACTTAATATGGCCCTTCTAGACATAGTCCGCCATTTTGTGATGTATTGTAAATGCTAGCTTCTACGACTGTGATTATGGCCCCATTTTGAAGTGAGTTGTCCACTGTGTTAATGAGGCAGGATTAGGGTGGGATGTATCTCGAGTCACCACCTTACTAGAGGGTTTCCTTGAGGGTACGGTCTGCATCCAACATATATGAATGTTCTGGAAAAGTTCTCTCCCTTGCTCGGATCCTACATCTGGTCTGTCATCATCTGACCTCTGGTTCTTGGGACTTGAGCCATTGGCCTGTCATCTGATCTGATTCTGCAGTGTCTGCAGCTTTGTGAGCCAGTAGTCCTTTGTCTGACCTGCCAGTATGGGCTCGTCAGCCCCTGCGACCACGTGAATGAAGAGAATTCTCTGACTGATGCCTGATCCACTTGGGATTTGCCAGCCTCTGCAATAGGATAAACCATTTCCTTGGCAGTTCGTGAGTTCTGTGAGACATTGCAATGAATTATAGAACCCTGAGATGAGAGAGAAACAGCTCTGGTGGCATTGTGCCTAAGGCATTTGACTGCTAACCAGAAAGTTGGTGGTTCAAACCCATGAGGCACTCCACAGAAGGAAGATGGGGCAATATACTTCTGTAAAGATTTACCACCTTGGAAACCCAATGGGGTCACCCAATGGGTCGGAATTGACTCAGTGACAGTGGATTTGTTTTGGTTTTGGTTTAAGATGGGAGGGGAGAGTCGCGAGGGGTGGGGGAGTAGTTGATGTTAGAGATGAAGGAGTGGGACAGCAATTTGGAACAATGGACATTTGGGACATCTTTAACCTCTGCTTCATCAAGACCAGCCTAGTGCCGATCCTTCTGAAAGAAATCATTTGAGCCTTCCTAGGCATAGACTGCACTCCTCGGAAGGAAGGTTGGGCAATCCTACTTCCGTAGTGATACTGCCTCGGAAACCCAAGGAGGGGTCGCTATGAGTCGGGGCCGACTCGACG